ATTTTGAAATATACAGTCTTTTCATTCTAATAAACAATAACAAAAAAGGAAACTTTGAAAACACAACTTATAAAGTATTTTTTTCGCCCAATTAGAAGGATTTTTTCATTTCCAAATTTTTTGGATGGCTTTATTATCATTAGATGAACAATGTTAAAAACTAAAAAAATGATTTTGAGTTTATAAAGGCTGTGATCTTTAAATTCACAAAATGAATGGTCTAGATTTTTTTTTGGAGGTGACTCATTTTAACCATATATAAGGTTCAAATTGAACTTTTTTTTTTGGGGGGGATTGATTATTGAGATGAAGAGAGTGTGTGTACAAATTTGGGGTTATACAAATACCACAAACATGGTTTTCTATAAGTGTCGTTGCATTATACTATGATACAACAGTTGCATTAGATCAATGCTCATATATATAGGAAAAAGAAAAAGTTTATATTGGTTGCAACCTTAAAATGTAGAATCACATATGCACCTTAAAAATCTATCGAAATATTGTTTTAATGTTGAAAAAACCCTCTAATCGATCATCTCGACATCGATATGCATGAATATGAAAAAAAACGTTTTTGAGTCCTGAAAATAGTGTATCTTGCAACATATTATCTAGACCGTCCATTTTCAAGATTTTCATATATTTATAGATCTACTTGATTTTAACCATTTTTGGAATTTAAATTTTTTTAATTAAGTATGAAAATAGGTTTTAAGATAATACTAAGTATTTTTTACAACAAAATTACCTGTTACAATAAAATTTTAAGGTGTGCCTTAATTGGATTGTTTAAAGTTGCAACCTTATAGGAACCGTACCGATATATATATATATACATGGGAAAAGTTTATATAGAGCCGAGGCTCTAAACAATCAAATATGAGCCTACCTCAAAATTTTCACTAAAAGAGGTTGTTTTGATGCCCAAATATCTTCAAATTTATCATCTCGATATGAAGGGCATGGACATGAGAAATAAATAGATTGCAAGTTTAAGGAATGGTATATTTTGTAACGCATTTTTTGACCATCAATTTTGAAGATTTTAAAGTTTTCATAGATATGTCAATCTACACTATTTTTGAAGCTTTAAACTTTGTAAATAAATATGATTTTTTTTTTTTAAAGCTATTACAAGGATTTCCAATATTGAAACCACATTTCTCAACACTATTTGAAGGTAAGCTCTAATTTGATTGTTTAGAGCCCAGGCTCTATACAAACCGCACCCAATATATATATATATAATTCATTTTAGATGATTTTTTTTTAAAAAATTATTTTGTAGATTCATCATCTAGGCTAAGATGATCATAAATATGAAAAGAAAAATCAACTTTAAAAAAAAAAAAAGTAATTTTTTTATGCACTGTCTACATTTTAATTGGAAAATTATAGAAACCCCCAAAATCAACTTTTTAGATATCCTATCTCCAATACTTTTTCTCTCATACCCTAAACCCCAACATTTTTTTTTTTTGTATGTACCCCCAAGTCAAGAAATCAACAAGTTTAATATGAAACTACCCTTACCTTCTCTCTACATAAACAAAAATCAGCTTTTGAACTCTCTCATTCTCTCTACATGCCATCTCTCTCCTCTCTCTATCGGCCATCTCTTTCTTTCTCTCTACCTGCCCTTTATTTTTCTCTCTCTATATATCATCTCTCTCTATCTCTTAGTTGGATCAATACACGGTCCGACTCACTGGTTGTTGGACTGAATTTTTTTTGCTGTACAACACATTGTCTACAAAAAAATTTCGGTGTAGCACCTAGTGTGTTGGATCGTCTTCGAGGGACAGAGGCTTATCTAGATCAATACTTGCCGGACATACTAATGAGGTCCGGCACACTAGGTGCTAGATTAGATTTTTTTTGCGAGAGGAGAGAGAAAATGAGAGGAGAGAGAAGGGACAGGTAGAGAGATAAAGATGATGGGTAGAGAGAGAAAGAGAGATGTCGTGTAAAGATAGAGTGAGAGAGAGTTAAAAAAGTTGTCATATGTCATATTTTTGTTTGTGTAGAGAGAGGGTAAGAGCATTTTTGTCTTAAACTTGTTGACTTCTTGACTAGGACATAAATAAAAGAAAAAATACCGTCGAAGTTTAGGGTGTGAGACAAAAATTATGAGGTGTAGGATGTATAGCAAGCTGATTTTGGAGAGATACCTATAATTTTCCTTATTTTAATTTATGGACAATACACTTTTTTTAGATGACATCCATCTTTAGGATGAACATTTGTAAGAGTGGGCGCAAATTTGTAAGAGCGGGCTCTTGCGCCCGCTGACTTATGAAACAAATTTCCTTATTTATTTCCAGATATTTAAAAACTCGGATTATTTGAATCACCATCTAGTGTATTAATTCAATTTGGAAAAACGGCAAGCCTGATTTAATAAAGGAATTGTATACAAAAAGATCATATACATCTGATACAAGGCGGTCACAATTGCTTAAAACCATCCGATGTGAAATTTAATAAGTTGGATGTGTCACAAAGTTTGAATTTTTCTTTTTTAAAGTTTGAATTTGGTAATGGGATAATTGCAGCCACCCAATTTACATTTATTAGTCAAGATCATCGTGACCGCTTTGTATCAAAAGTAAATGATCTTATTTTATACTTTCCCTTTAATAAATATCAACAAATGTCACGCCATCATTGTCACTATCTTAACAAAATAACCGCCTTCTTTCTATTTTCTCTTATTTCAAATGCCAATATATTTTATACTTTCTCGGGTGTACACTATTCATTTAATCCATCGAGTAAAACCCACCTAAGATTAATTTAAGACCTCAAATTTTGCGACGTAATCTCTTTATAAAAAAACATATCCTACTTGCATCCTCTAAGCACAAGAAAGAAATAATATTTTAACATATTGACTCACAACAATAAAAAATATTTCCTACTTGCATCATCCGAACACAAAAAAAAAAAATTTTTTTAATAAATATAAAAAAGTAAATTTGCTCATTCTATACTTTCCCTTTAATAAACTATCAACACATGCCAGGGCCATTGTCGTCACTCTCCGAACAAAATAACCGCCCTGTTTCTGTTTTCTCTTTTTTCCAAATGCCAATAGACATTCTACTCCCTCGGTATACACTATTCATTTAATCCATCAGGTGAAACTAGGATTAATTTTAGAACCTCAAATTTTGGGATATAAACTCTTTAACATATAGATTCACAACAATAAAAAACATTTCCTACTTGTATCCTCCAAGCACAAGAAAGAAATAATATTTTAAAATTGAATAGAAACTATGTAATTTTTATATTAATTTTAATCCCTCCATAAAACAACACCTATAATTAATTTTAGGACCCCAAATTTTGAGATATAATCTCTTTAACATATAGATTCACCACAATAATTTTTTTTTTCCTATTTTCATCCTCTAAGCATATGAAAAGAATAATATCTCAAGATTGAATATAAAGTATTTAATTTGTAGAGTGTGAGATCTAAATGTTGGAAAAATCATATTTCAATTTTTTTTTAGAATAATTAGCTAGTGATTTTAAAATGGTTGTTAAAATTTGTTATAAAAAAAATCTTCCCAAAACATGACCAAGAGAGTAGAACTAAATTATACATGCGCAAAATATTAAATCATTATTTTCAAATATTATACCATCATTTTCCCCTCTCTTTCTGCCTTTTCGAATCGCAACATTTTTAACCCCTCTCTCTCTCCTCAAATCACAGCATTTTTTAACCCCTCTCTCTCCTCACATCCCAGCATTTTTTAACCACTCTCTTTCTCTCTCTTCAAGTCGCCACTTTTTTGAACCCCTCTCTCTCCAAAATCGCAACACGTTTGAACTCCTCTCTCTCTCTCTCTCCAAACTACGC